GGGTGCTGAGTTGAAATACCCGGGCAGACACACACACACACACACACACACACACACACACACACATACACACACACACCGGGGTAGTCGCAGTATCGTTTTCGCATTTGCATATTATGCAAAAACACATAAAAAGATCTGTTATTCTAATTTCCGAATTAATCAGTTCCCTGCCAAAAATTTTACTTATCCACAAGCAAGAACCACGCTTGCTTTGGAGCTTAATTTTTAGTCTCTAACTTGCACGTAAATGGGGGACATAGCCTTAAGATTTTAGCTTCCAACTTTTCTGATTTCCGACTTGTCAATTTCCTAGCCAAAACTTTTACATGCCCGTACGCGGGGCTCAGACATGCGTGAAAGTTGGTATTGGAGTCATATGTAGCTAGGGAACTTCTAGTATTTGTTGCAGTTTTATTATCCGACCTAAATCATTTTTTGAATTGCTTGTCCACTTCCAGTCTCCAGTCCACTGCAAGTACTCTAGCACCTAACGCAGTATATTCTGTTTCCTAAGTGCCCTACGAAATGGCGCAGTAGCTCGATTTTAAATGTAAATTTTGGAGATTCTACTTAATGGTAGACGAAGAAAAACTCGAGAGGTAAATCCTTGTGGTTCTGCAGACTTTGAGAGGTAAATCTCCCTCTCCACTCCAGCTTCAATCTTCAACTTCCGCTTGTTGACGGCGGCGGTTTTCATCACACTCTTCGACGGACTCGTCCATGGCATAGCACTGCCGCCATTGTTAGATTTTATTGATTATCGACTCGAGTTCCACAGTAGGCTTTTCGACTACTAGACGATCTCTCGACGATCTGCGCCCTGAACGTCAATTTGAGGAATCAATTTGAGCCTAGTGGTCATTCTGTCGATTTATCTTGCGCTGCTGAACCGTTATTTGAATTAGTTGTTGGGGCTGAGTATCAACCCCCAACATTCCATTTGCTTCCCCGTATTCTGATGTCAACTAAACTTTTATCCGCCGATTCTAAAGGAGTACCGAATCAAGCAGTTCAACTCGTAATTCTGGGTAGACAGTTGAAAGAAATTACTGATTAATTTACATTTGTTCGTCACACTCCCAGACTTTAAACCAGCTTCTAGATATTTTCAGTTTTCCCTAACGCATGAAGTTTTGAAGCCACGCTTTCTGTCTTGCGTCTTTTATTCGTTCGACCTTTTCCCTGTTTTCAGACCCGTATTTGGGTGCACCACATAAAATAAACCATATTTACGTCTCCACTCTTTGTTTTCAATATGTGACTATTGTACACAAAACACTGGAATGGATAAAGATAGGGCCTTTAATAATGGTTAAAGCTTCGCGAAGAATAACGAACATGAGAAGGAATCGTGGCGAATTGTAAATAGGTCTGAACAACAAAAAAAGCAACGTAAAATACGTGAGCGATACGGTGTTGAGTCCAAATCAATGATATCCCAGCGGAAAATTCAGCCCTAACTCCAGAAAATGAACCCAATTGTTGAAGCGGTTTTTAATAAAAATACAACATTTAAACGGTTCCGCTCTATGCTAAACAACTAAATTTCAGTTACAATGAAAGCACTTAATCGAGCATGAAGTTTGCCGAATAGAAGTCGAAGTGAACATGTGGAATGTTTTCTTTAGCCGCAAAAATACGAGCCAACGTCTTGCGCTCCTCACGATACAGTAGCAACGAAAGCCATTGAGTAACAGAAAGCTCGAATCTGTCGAAGCTGCATTCCTGATCATCGCATGCTTCGCGGTACTGATCGATAGCTGTTGCAAGTGAAGGATATTTGTCTTTCATGTTTTCATAGTTGGTCTCGTTGAGTTGTTCAAATTTACTCATGAAATTTTTGTGATCGTAATCCGAAGCACATATAGCTCGCAGCGTTACGGTAGCATTGCCGCTCGTGGATGCAAGATAAACACAAACTCTGAATTTCGCTTTCAGATCTTTGAGCTTCTGTGCGATCACTAACGGATGCTTCTGTAATAGAGCTTGTTTACTTCTGTTCCGTAAAAAGATCATTAAGAGGGACTATCTAAGGGTTTCACATTTCCCGCACAGCCTGAAAACGTGAAACTGCTCCCCATTTGTTATCAATTAGCAGAAAATGCTTGATCTTGAAAGCAATCGCAAAA